GGCGCCGCGACACGGCGCGCACATGACAGATTAAAGTATCGCATACCAGACGCGCACATTCGAATGATATTTAACATGAAACTAATCAGATGCCGCTCTGTGGCATGGCTGAAAAATGAACTGAGTCGTGGGCAGGCGCCGCCGACAGCCGCCGACTTGCGGCGCCGGTGTGTGTATCCTGATAGAAACCTATGTTTAGAATTCTAAAATGCATGGTGCTGCGTGTCGCTGCGCGGCGCGCCGCCGAGAGGCGCTTCTGGTGTGCAACCTGCTTTACACCCCATTCACATGGGGCGTCAGCATCAACTCTTACCATTCACTTTGAATGGGTGACATCAGGCATTGTGACAACTGCATTGTGGATCCATTGGTGCTGCTTCAGTGGTATTGCTCACTGTAGAAGTTGGGACTTTCTCAAATTTTTTAAGCGCAGACGGAAGCATCAGCCAATCAGATCACTGTATGCAAATACATCAGCTCAGACAGTCGCCGGTTGCTGACTAATTTCAATGGTTGTTGCTACGATGAAAATCGCGTTAGCCCCATCATCAAGCGTTGATGCTGAAGCCCTGTGTGAATCGGGCATTAGAGTATTGGAGATTTGTTCTCTGAAGTGATGAACTACACTTCTCTTCTTAGTTTTTATTTTATTCATTTATTATTAGAGTTATTTTTTTAGTTAGGGGTTGGCCTCGACCCCTTAATATAGTTTACAGCAAAAAAAAATTAATTTTAATTTTAATTTAAAAGCATCAGGACTACAAATGGGCTATATTCTCACACGTGCAAAGAGCTGTTTTAGGCTGTAAATTAAAGCTAATAATTTAAAAACAATTATTACTAGAAGTAATTGTTTCGCTTTACAAAACATGTGTGTCATTAGAAGCCATGGCTATTGATTTGTACTTGTTTGTGTGAGTTTTTTTTTTTTTTTTTAATTAGAAAAACCTATCACTATTCACCACCATTATATGAATCACCAAGGATCAGAGATTCATCTAAAAATCTTATTTATTGTTCTACTTAAGAAGAAGAGTGACTTACATCCAAGATGACCTGTGGGTAAGTACACAAATAGAAACAAAAAAAAGGTGAAATCTTTTTAATTCCAGATATGCTTCAGCATTTCAAGAAATTGTGGATTTTTTCATCTTCTCAAACTTTGTGGGAACAGTTTGGGGATGACCTCCTCCTGCAACACAACTGTTTATCAGTGCACAAAGCAAGGTCCATATAGACATGGATGAGCAAGTTCGGTGTGGTGAAACTTGACTACATGGCCTCAACCTAATCATCTTCAAGATGAATTAGAGCGGAAACAGTGAGCCAGGCCTTCTCATCCAACATCACATACTGTACATGCACCTCTAGAAGAATGGTCACAAATTCCTATAAATACACTCCTAAACCCATTGGGAAGCCCTCTCATGAGAGTTTAAGCTGTTATAGCTGCAAATTTACTCTATACTGGACTTTTTTTTGTGACTCAAAAAGCTATTTCTGCTTCATTCAACTCCAAAAATGTATTTCGTTGCTTCTTATTAAAACTACACCTAATGTATGATAAACAGTATTTTCACATTTGATCAAATTTGTATGCTGTTCAAATTTACTACCCTTTCATTATGTTGGTGGCTGTTTTTGCCCCGTTGACTTCAATTATAATATTTATTTATTTATTTTATTTTTTTTTTTTGCAAAGCCATTACACCATTTATTCATGCATTAATTTGTTGGTGGTTTTTCCTGTTGAATTTTAGAAAATTTCCAGTTTTTTCCCCCTAAAATATGCATCTAGGCAATTTATTACCAAAAGTTATTGTATTTGCTGAAACACAGAAAAGGTTGTGGGCAAATTAAGACTCAAAATCAACCCAGAATGGATAAAAACATCTTCAACAGCACACAACAGTTCATGCTGATAGCATGAACTACATTAAGTTACATAACAAAAGTTAAGTTTTATTTCAGCTAATAAAGCATGCGCATTTACATCAACATGGAAATTGTGCTTTCATAGATAAGATAAAACATCATTTCAAACTTGCTAAGTGATGTAAAATAAAATGACAAATCAAGTTGCATTCACTGCCAGTTATGTCTTGGTAAAATGTCAGTTGGCTAAACTCAAGCTAAGCTTAATCAGTTATCTTAACTTAAATCTTACAATTAAATGTTTCAGTTATTGTAGGTGTTACCACATGAAGTACAATTTCTAAGTCGATCAAAAAAAAAAAAACGCAGTACAAATTAAATCTTAAGGATTACGACTGGGATGCCTTTTAAGTTCATGTGAACGTAAAGACAAATGTCCCAATAATTTATATGACATTTTATATGACATTAAATATACCAAAGTGCAAATGCTAGAGTTTTATCATTAGAATAGATCGGAAATCAACTTAAATCCCATAAGATCCCTGATCCCGCGGTCATTTGTAATAAACAGCTTAAAAACAGCATGATATTTCCATTTCAGACCTTTTTCTGACAGCTGATGTGCACAAAAAAGTAAAGCTGCCATCCATTGTGTCACAATTTTTCATGCTACATGCACGTAAACAGTATGTCATGTTTACAAATGTTATGTTGACAAAAATCTACCATGACAAAACTAAACTGATGGATAATACAAAAGTCTCCTTCTTAGGCTAGCTTTTGTTCTTCCTAAATAGCAAGGATACTTGACAATTTGCATTTATCATATTATGTATTTGGTATCATATAACATGTTCTGGTATAAGGACATTTTATGTTGCAAACCTAAATGCACTTTTAGTCAAATTGTTTGATTACAATAGCCATTACAGGTGATTATAACTGTAGATATTAGCCATTGTAACACATGTTAACACATTTAAAATTAACAATGTAACTTGCCTTAATAAATATATTATAAACAAACCATTGCATTACAGATGTAACATTTGCCATTATACCTTGTCATATGAGTAATACATAAGTAAATGATGTGGTGTCCAGTTAAAATGCTAAAAGCTTTAGAAAAAAAATAAAAAATAATGCAGTGAACCAAAGCTGCATTCAGACACACAGACATTTTATCTGATATTATTATTGATGTTTTCTGATGGTGACCAATGGCTTTGATTAGTTTTGTTTATATTTAGCTGAAGGGAACAATACTAAAATCCGAAATACAGTAGTTGATATATTGTCACATATATATTTTTGTGAACATAAATTAGATTTGCAGCCGTGAATATTTCTGTTGAAAACAGTGTGCATCAAAATACTATCATACATATGCTATACATAAATAATTGCATACTCTAATAAACTATTTAATTACATTTACACAGTCCATTGCTGACATTTCATGTCTAAATCTTGTCTAAAAAATACGAGAGAGAGAGAGAGAGAGAGAGAGAGAGAGAGAGAGAGAGAGAGAGAGGGAATTGTTAAAAAGTTTAACTAATATAGTCAACACAAAATTAGCTATCTTTAAAATTAAAATATTTGTCCAAAAATATTTTACAACATGTCTACAACAGTACAAATAACTTCATTTAATCCCCATTTATGCCAAAAAACTTCATCTTTTTGTAGAATTTAAAATTATTGTTTTGCTTGCCCGGTTAAAAAAATGATTGCGTTTTTAACCACTATAATCACCATTACAGCATCCTGAATTGACTTTATTCATAAACTGATATTATTTTTCTATACCCTTTTGTATTCAAATCCCGATATAAAAAAAAATGCTTTATGGATAAAAAATAAAACATTTAAAACATCAAAAAGTGGGAATGTGTTTTACAATCCTTTAAACAACGACCAACTGAGAGAAAGAGAAAATAATAGCAATAATAAGATGAAGAAGAAGAGAAGACGACAAAGAAAAATGCGATTAAAAAGACAATGATGAAGAGGTCACACTTTACAATAAGGTTCATTAGTTAATGTTAATTGATGCATTTACTGACGGGAACAAACAATGAACAATACATTTACTACTGTATTTGTTCATGTTAGTTAACGATAGTTAATGAAAATACTGTAGTTAATTGGTAGTTCATGTTAACTCATGGGGCATTAACTAATGTTAACAAGCATGGACTTGGATATTAATAATGCATTAGTAAATGTTCAATTATGAATAATAAATGCTGTACATGTGTTGTTCATGATTAGTTCATGTTAGTAAATGCATTAACTAATGAACCTTATTGTAAAGTGTTATCGATGAAGAATATAAAGAAGACGAAGAAAAGATGAAGACAAAGACAAAGAAGCAGTAGAATAAGATGATAAAGAAGACAATGATAAAGATGAGGAGAATAAGACATTGTAAAAGTTGATGAAGAAAAAGAAGACAAAGAAAAAGACGAAGAAGACAGAGCAAGATGATGAATAAGAAATTGATGGATGAGAAGATAAAGAAGATGGAAAAGACTATGAAGAAGAAAAAGAAAATATGAAGATGATGATGATATGAAGAAGAATATGATGATGATGAGGAAGACAATGATGAAGAACAACAAAAGAAGACAAAGAAGAAGATGAACAAGACAAAGAAGACAAAGACGATGAATGAGAAGACAATGAAGACTATGAAGAGGACATAGAAAAGATAAAGAAAAAAAGAAGAAAAGACAGTAATGAAGAAGATGAAGACAAGGAAAATTAGACCATGAAGAAGATGACAAAGAATACAAGGAAGATAAAAAAGATGAAGAAGACAAAAAAGAACAAAAAAAATCATGAAGAAGAGTAGGAGACGATTAAAAAGAATACAACGATGAAATGAAGAAGAAGAAATGATAAAGGAAAAGTATGAAGAACAAAAGATGGAAAAAAAAGACAATGATATTAAAATTTGAGAATAAATTTACACTTTTTAAAATTTATTTTTTTTTTTTGTCAACTGTCAACCAGCTAACATCACTTCACATTTGCTCATCATTGCACTAAAGTAAACAGGACAGGTTATAATGGTATACATGTACAACAGGCTGCGAATATGAACAGATCATTCTTACCTATATTGTGTCTTGTGCCATATGGCTGTTTCTCTCAGCCTTTTCCCACCCAAACGCTTCCAGAGAGATAGTTTCCTGAGGAAACAAACAAACACACAGACAAACAAATAAATCCACAATAAGAATGAAGATAGCACATTCAGTGTATTTATTTTGTAAATGACTGCATAAATATTCTCCTTTTCCTGGATGTCTGGATCTTTCAAACTGTCATTTACTGTATTTTGCTTTGACATCCATTTTGTTTTTACAGCAGCGTGATACTATTTCAATAGCCATGAAGGCCAGATACAGATGATTTATAAAACCGCATGAGGATTTTTCACAGCGGGTCCTTTACTGCAAACATCTACTGTTTTTTACAAAAGGATTTATGCTGCACACTATCAGATAGTCTGTCGGTCAAAAGAAAATATGTTTTTACTATAATGGAACATGGCCTGCTGCATATTTGAGTTGGTAGATATGTGATTTATTGTTTTTATTTTTCCCCCTCTCCTTCTGATCCTTTGTATGGGCATGTGGACACAGAGTAATAAGCCATAATCTTTGTTGCTCTCTTCACTTGTCAAGGCTGGACAAACAAAACGCCTTCAATTCTAAGAAATGTTGATTTGAAACATGGAGAATCCTATTCTTGATGACGAGAGCAGTAATAAGAACGAGCACCAGTAATATCCTGTTTCGGTCTATGAATTCTTATCTCTTTATCCCTCTACGCGTTCATGGAATAATGATAGGACTCTCATTTTCTTTCTTTCTTTCTTTCTTTCTTTCTTTCTTTCTTTCTTTCTTTCTTTCTTTCTTTCTTTCTTTCTTTCTTTCTTTCAAATAATCAGGTCAAATAACCTGATGTTATTACTTGATTTATTTTCTTTTGTTTTCCTACTTTATTAAAAGGAAATAAGTCTGAAATTGCTTTCTTATATTTATTTATTTATTTATTTATTTATTTATTTATTTATTTATTTATTTATTTATTTATTTATTTATTTATTTATTTATTTTTAAGAACCAACATGTACAGATTAATTTTAAATTAATAACGCTTCACATTAACTTGTACACATTCAAGAAAATAAAATGAATTAATAAATAAAAATAAATAAATAATTAAACAAATGAATAAAATATGAAGAAAAAGGGAAATTATCAATTTACATACACATATATTTTCAACTTTTTTATTAACAAAAGGTATTAAATACACTGTTTGAGCAGAAAACACACACAAACACACACACACACACACATACACACACACGCACACACACACACACACACACACACACACACACACACACACACACACACACACACACACACACACACACACACACACACACACACACAACCATTTGGTTGCTTGCATTGTAAAAAAAAAAGATTAGTTTGCTTAACTTTAAAAAGTAAACCTATTGCTTTTAAAGCGATTGGTTGACTTCGCTTAAAAAAGTGAGTAAACCCATTGCCTTAAAAACATTTAATAAATGGATTAAGTTTATAAATATAAAATTAAGTCAGCTTCACGGTTCTAAGTTACATTAAACTTACTTAATATTCTTACAACTAAAGTCAACTTGTTGCTATTAAAGGCAGATTTATATTTCTGGTTTAGTGAAAAATCGAGTCCCCCCTGCAATCAAGTCCGCTTAAGACCCCAATGGATCGTCTGCGTTGAATGCCTTATTAAAAGAGCTTTTTATAGTCTGTTCTCAGTCTTGAGATTTCAACAAGACCTATCATATTAGTACCCTTATTATCAGTAACAACAAGTCAAAGACACGCATAGTTAAATAATTGAAACCTTTGTAAAAATGTCTTTGGAATGTTTTTATGTATTTATATGTAACATTATATATTTACATAAGAAGTGGTAGCACATTGTAGGCTATCTAAAATAAAAACATGAAGGAGAAATTCTCCATGCCACAACACATGCTTTTAGTTGCACATCAGTCTACAAAAGATATAGTTTAAAATAGTAACCCTCTTTTAAATTATATTTAATCAAGATTTTGCTGCATTTATATATATATACAGTTATATATAAACAGTCAAAATGAACGCATCAGTAGTTCTAGTTTTGAAGAAAATAAATTTTAAAATACAAGAGCCATTTGAGTCTGTAGTGATTAGATCACATCACGTCATAGATCTGGATTGAGGCTTAATGTTTCACTTACAGCGATTTCAATCTATTTCTCAAATAAATAAATAAATAAATACAAATTAAAATGACTTGGAAACACCATGAGTCACAGGTAAAACACGTATGATACCATTATCAAGCTTTGTTGTCATTTCCTTTGTCATTATATGCAAAACAGTAGCCTTGATTTCAGTGAGGACACGAATAAAAAGAAAAACATGACAATTTGGAAAGCAATTTTTACACTAAACCATTTGCATTCCTTTTTTTTTTTTTTTTTTTGCTCTGAGGCTTTAACAATTTCCATATGTTTCGAATCAGATTAGTTCTCTCTCAAGTCTAGCTGGCCTTTTTTTTTTATTTATTTCCTCCCCAAAATTTTAACTTGTCACATGTAAAGCATATTCCCTATTTGGCTTCAAGTCCGTGCAGTCATGCAGATGACATCAGACAGGCTGGTTATTGACAGCTCTTGAAACTTATGTGTTTATATTTTAGTGTTGTAACATGATGCAATTCAGTTTAGCTGGAAATAAAAGAAAAACATTTTACAATATGGGACACATAGTTTATTTTAGTACAAAGTAGCCCTGGGTTAAAAATCTGAGATACTTAGCCATAGTCAAATTATATGACATGCATTAGTACATGGAAAAGGCCACACCATGAAGTCTCAAACACTACTGCTTCCTTGTGTCATTTAAATTTCAAGATTGTAAAACCTGGGTGAAAAGCAGGTAAATCCGAACACAAAACAGATGTGACTAACGGGCCACAACCTCAAGATTTGCTTGTACTTTAGGTCAAATTTAACTCATTCGAATCTGATGAGCTGAAACATTATCAGAAGATCAGCAGTCACAGACTGATGTGTTGCTGTAGGATCATTATTACAAATGCCACAGGCTGCATTTTGAGATTGCAACGGTTATGCTCCTTTGTTATTTTATAAGTGTATCAAAGTTTATACAGTGTTTCTCAACTGGTGCCAGTACCAAAAGTAAGGTGGGTCAGTGGGTCGCTGAGTGTGTGGTCAAAAAAACTACAAAAATTTAATTTTTAACTTATTTTGCTTATATCGTACTTTTATTTTGAAATACACATGCGACAACCGTACCTTTTGACATGTGAAATTTAATTTAATTATAGCAACAAATATGTCAAAGTGCAAGTACAACTCTAAATATGAAAAGTGTGGATTTACATATACTGACGACAAAAAAGGCTTAAAACCTCAGTGTTTCATATGTAGCAAGGTGCTCTCACAAGAGAGCATGAAACCTTCTAAATTAAATCGACATTTAAAAACCAAACATCCCATTTGTAAGGACAAACCTGTGGACTGTTTTTATAGACGACTGCAATAGCTGAGGGCATCACAAAAGTGCCTAACATCTTTATGTTAAAAACAAGATATTCTGCGCATCTTACTGCGTATAGCTCAACGTGTAGCAAAGGCCTAGAAAGCCCACACAGAAGCAGAAGAGCTTTAATTTGCTAGTTTGTTCTGTTCACCAGGATCAGGGTTTTATTAACAGTTCAGTTTAGTTTATGGTAACTGAACTCTTTCTCACCCTAACCACTGTTTACAGTATTTGTTGTTTTTACTTTGTAATATTTCTATAATTTCATATATTTTGTTAAATGACAGCAATAAAATATTTTGTTAAATGGCAGCAATAAAATGTTTTTTATTTGTAAGTCTTGATGATTTTCCTATGATTTATCTGTCACTACTTGTGAATGTTAACAAATAAATACAAATAAATTATAATTCCTAAAATTGTTTTATAGTTCCTAAAACTTTGAGTCGCGGCTTGATGATATATATAAATTTTATAATAAATATATATATTATATAAATTAAATAAAAAATACATTTTCTGATTTTTTTTTTTATTATTTACCCAAGGCACATATTTACTATGTAGATTTAACCTTACTGTGACCAATTTAACCCATTGAATAAATGCAATATATGGCACTTTTAGTGTATTTACTAATATAAACAAAATGTATGAAATCTTAGCTCCACATTTGCTAGTACATAAAGGTAAAAACAATGCTCTGCTTGTTAAGAGATAATGTACAGGATGTCATCATAAAACAACCTCCCTGATGTACTTTGTCCCGCTTATTACATGGCTACTTTGCACAAACCATAACATTTAGACACAAAACATTATTCTGAGCCTAGTTTATAAATTATTTTGTTTTTAATGCAAGCTGACAGAAAGAACCCAGATGGAATATAACGTTGCATTAACCTATGCATTATTACAATGTCACAAGGTGGTTCCAAACAGTCAAAAAGGCAAAGCTGACAGAAATTAAACTGGCTGAGAAAACATAAGCTGCCTCTGAAATTGCATAATTCAATACTATGTAGTTTGCTAAAAAGAGTATACGAGGTGATTAGTATGTCCAAATTCATAGAATTCGAAAAACAGTATCTGAGAAATACCTGGATGACCTACTACATCTGGTGAGATTCTAAAGTGCGAATTGGATGGACGATATGCTATACCATAATGCATCACCAGTGAATTCATGTATGGAAATGAAGTGACACAACTGGCATGGGTAAGTCACGCGATGAAGACAAAATGGTGGATGTAGTATGTCCAAGTTCCATTCATACTACTGACATTTACACTATAGAGAACATACTTTTTCTAACAGCGGAGTTGTACATTTACAGTAAATTCAAGCGCATTACCTACTAGGTAGTAGGCAATTTTGCACGCAGCCATAGACTACCAACGCATTATTTGTTTACAAGATGCCACCAAACAGTCCAAAACTGTCAAAACAGTGGTGTGACATTTGAATGTGGATGTAAGTATATGTATTTAAATGTTTTTGCTGATATTCAAGGTAATTAGAAGCTCATGGATGAGCCTACATCATTTAGAGCAGTGTT